CTAAAGGTAGGCGGAAGAAGAGATAAATAAATATTATAGCAAATACATATGCACCTGTATATCAAGAAGGTTTAATAATATATAATTTTTACAAACAGTATTGAATAAAATTCCCAAAGTATGATGTAAGCATGTATGAAAATCTACACTACGACAGTAAAATCTCAGACAGTCTGTCGAACAGGAGAGAAAATTATTCTATTTCGATTCCCACACACTGGTCAAGATACGTATTATTCTATGAAGCGTAAAAATAAAAATTATTATTGTTTCATCTAATATCGAAAATCAATAATATCGTAGTCGATATTTTCTGACTGCAGTTAACGAGCAGAAAACGAGTCTTACTAAATAAAAATTATAAAACTTCTAATCAGCAAATATTGAAACACAAGGAAGGTCCGACCTCGAGAAGCTGCAATCATAACAGACAACCGAACGATTTTCTACTCGGCTTGCACTCTTGCTCTCTGAGAGCACTCATCATGAGCAAATCGGTTAAAGGGAAATGTGGGACGGCATTTCAAGCCCCTTACGTACAGCAGCAAACAAAACCATTGGTTTTCTTCAAATGCAAAAAACAGCTATTTATCGGATTATGGTTTTAATTTATATCGAGGAACAATGCTTAAGAAAAAACAAAAATAAAACCTTGTAAAATTGAAAAATGAGAAATTAAAATGTGCTTTCTAAAATAAAATACTTCTGTATTTTGAATCATTCTACTTTCCTAAAACAACTTTATTTTACATCTCTTGGACAATTACAGTGAACTTGAGACATTCCAACCGTTTGTAGACGCAGACTATATAAGATGAGTACAGGATAAACATAGCAATAAATAATAAAGACTAATCTTGTCGAAAAAATACGACCCGCTCTGATGTATATACACGAACATTGAAAAAAAATAGTGTACACTTTGTATTAATTTACACTTTCAGAAACATAAATTCCCGTGTTTATGCTTATTAAATCCAAGGAGCTTCTTCTAATTATTTAACTGTAATTTGTTTTTACGTTATTATTTAAAACTATTTATTTATATTGCTTCGATTCTTTGAATTTCGTTCGTTTCTTTCTGTTTGAAAAATTTCTAATCTAATATTTCACAGAATTTTTTTCATTATTGCATTAACCTCATTATCATAATTAATTTTTGTTTATTTTCCATTACTAAGTACTCCTAATTATTGTACATTTTGGCATTGGTATATGTTTCACGTCAAATTGCATACCATACAAACCTATTTATGTGAGGCTCTTTTAAATCATTTTTTCGACGTATTTGTTTATAATTTAAATGCTATACACTCACTCGATATATATATATTTATTATGTAGTACTTTAGTTTTATGAACACCTGCGCATAAATTTCGTATCACTTGAAAAGAAAAATTGGCTAATTTTTATTCTTCATTTCATTTTTAGCTGGAATTAACGAGCGGGTTTTATGGGCTATTTTTCGTTGATGCATGTATGTAACTATTTTTAGGAGCTTGAAATGACGTATTTTCATTGATGCAATAAAGTTGTAAAAATCTATTATTTGCAGGTAATCACATAGATTATTTGTTGTAAAATTGATTAGGCGATGCCTCATTTCAACTCGTCGTTATTAATTTTCGGAAATAATTTTTTGAAATCATGTTCTATTAATTTTGAGAAATATTAAATATTAAATTATCACTTTATTGTTAAATCAGTTCGTCCATAAAAATATAAATTTTATAACTTAAGGTAATTTTATAGGAAGTCCTTGACTAATTGTCAATGTAGAATTGAAAAAATAATTTTTGACGACGTATTTTTCGTAGATTTCGATTTAGTTAAAACTTTCTCAAAATATTTACAAATGTTATAGTAATCATCTGTAAATTGAGAAATTCTAAGGCTAATTGCGTTTTTAAGTTGTAAGGCACCGAGACACTAATCACAAAACAAATTTTCACGCATTGGACTCTTCGCCTCGTGATTGTGATGTTAGTTTAACCCGCAATTATGAATAGGATATACATGTACATAATTATGAATATAAACAATTAAAGCATATAAGCGCATTATGGGTTTGGGTCAAACGTACTTAGGTTATCTGCAAACCAGATTGATTGACAATTTTGAAATCGCATATCGAACCATTATTTGCAATATCTTCTTTTTATGACAAAATACGCGCTCAACATTCCCCAAATAGGTTGGGAGAATAATCCTGAGTTAGCAGTATAATCCTGAGTTGGCAGTATTCAAAATAGAATCGACTTTGAATAAGGTAAAGTTATCGTACTCTCCGTACTATTGATACAGCCGCTTGATTAATGTCATCGATTAAAGATACTATGCTTGGAGTTATCGATAAAAAATACTGAGCAAGAGCAAGAGCTCTAGAAGTGTTTTGGAATTAATTATTGTTAGAAGAGGTTTAGGAAATCTTCCTTTGCATAGCTTCCTTAAACCGAAAAAGGGTTCATCTACTCAGGCCTGAAATATAATCCAGAATCACTTTTACCGACAGGTGTTACTTTGGACTGAGTAAGTAAAGTCCTCTCCCGACGAACAAAGACCAATCTCTACAAGCCTCTCAACATTCCTGTCCCGCTATATGGTGCGGACGCATGGACAATGACATTATCTTATGAGTTCGCCATAGGAGTGTTCGACAGAAAAGTTTATGGTCCTTTGCGTATTGGCAAAGGCGAATACCGCAGTCGATGGAACGATGACCTACGGAATATACGGCGACATTGACATAATTCCACTGGCTATGTCATATTATCTGGATGGAAGAGAATACTTTGAAAGTTTTCTATTCAGCTTCCGCTGGAGGAAGCCCTCAACTCTGTTAGAGACATCATTTGGAGGCGACCTTGCCTACACTTAGTATCTCGAATTGACGCCAATAGCGAAAAGAAGCTGTCGCTAACCCGTCTATAACTGCGTAAGCGGCGTCTACGCCAGTAAAGAAGAAGAAGAAGCTCACATCGCGGCTTAGAGAAAATTTAAAGCTCTCACGAGCTCATTTTGTAAAGCTTACTAATTTTCAAATGATTTTGTTTATAGCTGAATGTGTTTTGTTTTTAATTTTTAATATTTTTGATAAATAATATGTCATTAACTTATTTAATATATTAACTTATTTGTATACAAAATTGGCAATGGGACCGAGAAAACGAGATCCGTGAGGATTCACAGAAGTGGCCTTCTWCTGTAGTAACCCATACATAGGTAGTTTAAAACCAAAGGAAAATAAGCAATTAAAGGCATTCGTAGCTCCAAAATGAAGTCTCTCTGAGTTAGGTTATGCAAGCAATAACTACTAGGGTGCTTCAAAAAATTTTTTTGAATTTTTCTTTCAACTCTTACCCCCTCAAATGTTAGTGAATGACAAGCAAAAAATCCTCCCTCAAGCCAGGCGAAATCTTTTTGTTTTTTAGGTTCCCATACATTTTACATAGGAATTTTCGTTTTTTCATTCAAACTTTGTCGAAGTTTAAAAAGTACACTTTCTGAATATGTGTTGGTTTTTTGAGAAACGAAAATTAGTTGGTGAAATTTTAGTTTGAATGAAATAACGAAAATTCCTATGTTAAATGTATGGGAACCTAAAAAAAAATAGCGACCCCTTAGAGTTAAGCTACAGCTCCTGGCTTGAGGGAGCATTTTTTGATTGTCAATCACTAATATTTGAGGGGGTAAGAGTTGACAAAAAAAATTTTTTAAGCACCCTAATAACTACACTATCAGTAGGTAGTTCGGTTAATATAATAAGGGTACCCAGTCATATAGGAATAGATGGAAGAAAAATGTAGGCGAATTGGGAGCAACTGGGAACAATTTTCCTAAGCTGCCACAAACCATTCCTTCAAAGAAAGCACAGGGAGTACCACAAAATTACTTTCAGATAGTGTTGATGGTGAACAGACCAAAAAAACTCTACTTTTAGGTAAAATATAATTTAAAAATATTGTAAGGGTCGGCACAGGGATCCTACTCCTTAGATCCTACCTTTAGAACTGAATTCGGCGGAATGCAAAGGATGCACGGAGGATGATGAGACGCTGCTATTTTTTTATTCGCAAATCGGAATTAAAAATTTTAAATTACAATATGAATCTCAAAAAAAATATGAAAAACTAAAACACAAAACATTTTTCAAATCAAAAGCTGCAATTAAAAGGATGAAAAGGAAATCTTTATATACATATGTATTTCTAACTGAAAAACTTTAATTAAAAGGAATTAAATGCAAATAAGATAAAAAAGCTCAACTATTCTGAAATTTTATTAAAAGGAATCTTTGGAAAAGAAAATCAAAATAATAGAACACGTAGTACGCAAAAGAAATATTTTAAAATTCAAAAGCGTAATTTATATATTCTTGCATCCTGTTGCTACAGAGTATTATAGTTTTGTTCACCTAACGATTGTACGTATCATCTAAAACTCATCGAGATAGATATGGGGTTAAATATATATATAGTATAAATGATCAGGGTGACGAGAAAAGTTGAAATCCGATTGACTGTCTGTTTGTCCGCCCGTCCGTACAAGCTGTAACTTGAGTAAAAATTGATACAATACATGGATAAAACTTGATATGTGAGTTCCTTAGTACTAAAAAAATATTACGAGTTCGTAGATTGGCGTAATCGGCCACGCCTACAAATCGTCATTAACCCAAAACATATAAAGTGTCATAACTAAGCACTAAATTAAGATATAAAGTATTAAGTAAAGAAGCATCTGTGGCCTCGCCCGCTAACAAGTTTAATTTRCATATCTACTAAGCAACTTAAGCTACCAAAACCAAATTTGCCAGAGATATTAAATTCTACCATCGAGTTGGTATGAACGAGCTTTATGGGAGCTGTTGTGACAGTTAATTATACATTACCTGAAACCCTGCAATAAATAATATTCCTTACGTCAACATATTTATTTAATCACTTGATGCGTTCCTATACTAAAACCAATTAGTTATAAAATTGATTAGGCAACTTACATTGTTTTGCCAAAACCGGCGCACAACAGCACTCTTTTACCTGCTCGTAGAAAAAGCAAGAGCCAACGGTAGCCTTATAAAGCTTCTCACCCACATAACAAATGTGTGGCACAAACGGCAGACCCTCTGAAAATATACGAAATATATATAATGATTATAATTAAAATAAATATTAAAAGTTATGACTAAATGCACCAGTGCACTAAATAAAATTCCTAATAATTACTTGCTTATTTGTTGTTGCAAATTTCATATTTCAGCTGATATACACAAAAGGCGCTGATGTAAACAAATGTAATATTCTAAGCAGACGCAGTAATAAATATTTTCAATAACATGCCAAAATGTGCACTAAAAATTAATATTAAATCTTTGTTCTACTCAACACCCGCAAGTAAGTATTGACCTCAGCTACTCTAGTTCATATATTATATTGCACAAATTTGTGCAACACATCTACAAACATATGTAGGTATAGTTTATGTGTAAGTTGAATGCAGTTTCACTTTCATGCACACTCGCCAATTTGTTTTTGTTGCTGTTTTGTGTATGGTATTTTACTAGCGGCTATAAAAATATTTTCATGTAATACGAAATGAGTTCATAAACTACAAATGCTGATAAATAATAAAGTTTGGTGTTAAATTGTACGAATATACATACATACATACATGTAAGCATATGTAGTAAGTATTGTGCTGGATACATGTGTACTTACATTGCACAGATTTTTAAAATTTAATATGTGCTTGTAGTTCATGAGGGAAGCTCCTTGCACTTTGTAAATTTGAGGCTTTCGCTTTGTTTTTCTTTTGGAGCTCGTAAAAGTTGCCGAATTTTCTTCGCACTGAAGGCTAGTAAAACTTTACAACATGTTTCGAGCAAATCAGTATGAGCTAAAACACATAATTTTGCCTGCGTTTCGTTACTCATCTCCAGAAACTTAAAATTCATTTTTTCTTCTACCTTTTTGTTGGCATGATTTCGGTCTAAACGAAAACATAAATGTTACGGCCCTTACAGCGATATATATTTCTTCTTCGTCATTATCTCATGTACTGTGCTGTATCTACCGAAGCAAGACTTTTGGTCTATTTTTGAAGCGTGAAAATGTCTGTAAACAGCAACTTAGCCTAAATGTATACAAAGTGGATGGCTGTGCTGCTTTTCAATTTGTAGTTTACAATTTTACACTCAAAACCTTTATTATTATTACAATTAACCAGTAAAAAGTGAAACAAATAGAGCAATGAGGTTATTGAACAGAATTTGTCTCCTGAAACCGTAAATATCACAACTGCAAAATGACGAGGATATGACAGACAAGTTAAAAAAAAATATCAAAAAAAAAAGTTGCACTGAAGCTAAAACAGTTTCTATACAAGTTCGCCCTCATTGCATATATGTATTTGGCCGATACCGCGTTCAAATTCCAGATCGATATCTAAAAAAAAATCGATGTACTACTCGGATATATAGAGACGGGCAGACAGACGGTCCTTGCCGATCAGTTCTCCATAACTTACCACTTCCTGCACATTTATTTAAACAACAATTTTACGTTTTCGAAGTCAATATACTAACAAAATAATTTGAAAAAANATGCGAGCAGACCAACATTAACGTGGCTTCAACGTATAAATATCGCTCTTTTGGAATGGCCAGCTGTTATGTCCTTTTGCTCACAAATGTTATACTCGATATGTGTTCCATAACTTAAAACTGAGCTACAGCTGCATTTGGTTTGATTTTCTTGTTACTTTAAGGCATGTAAACACATTAATTTGAAAAAATATATATATATTTTATAAATAGCTTTTCCTCAAGTAAAATTCATTCACTTCCGATCAATTAATCAACGATCGCAGAAATCTTGCTAATAGCATAACCATTATTAAACATTTTAACTTGTGTATCCGCTTTGCTAACACAAAATAATATTATTCACCTATTAAATACACCCCTGAAAACGAACCACAAAATATATGTGCCTGAAAAATACATTAACAAAATAATTTATTACTTCACTTGTCTATGTTTTTCTTGTTGTAGCTAGGTTACAGGAAGTTCGTTTTACTTTTTTGTTCTAATAAAAATAGAAGTTCTCCTCGGCATTTTCGTTCTACGTGATTGCACAAATTAGCATAAAAGTAAATGTGCAATAAAATAAACTTTAATTAGTTTTACTTTTACGTTAGAAGGGGAGCTCGAAAAAAAGATTAATTGGTTTTCTAATATGAGTTTTAGTAAATATGTTTAAGAAAAATGTTGCTATTTGCTGATATTTTCATTATTAGAAAATTTCAAAATATTTAGTGTGTTTTAATGATTTAAATGTATTGCCAATTAATTAAATAATTTAAACTTTAAGAAATAAATGTTTACCTATCATCTATGAATATAGAGCACTGTGCACTATGAGAAAATACTAAGAATTGGCATAAATTGCGTTTTAAAAAAATATTTTTTTTTGCTTAGTAACGTTGAAGTGAGTCGACAAAGAAAATCGTTTTTGGGGAGATTGCTTATAAGTGTGAAAAACTTATGAGCTTCTTTAAAAAATTAATATTTCAAAATGTTTTTTTCTCGTACTATTGATAGTTTTTCCCAGATACTTCAATTGATGGCATTAAGTTTTTGGCTTGAAGCAATTTAGTCTCACCAAAATGACAAAATGTAAGCAAAATCTCCCAAAGGCACAAAAAATTTTATTCTACTAAAGCAAAAGTGCAAGTTGTTTTAGAATTATTGGTAAAGCAGTTAAACTCTTTATTGGAGAGCATAGGGCATGCAACAATATTTTACTCCAGCACAGATACCAAAAACCACCCAGCAGTGGCTTAAATGCAATACTACTATGAGCAAAATATAGTAAAACTTTGTTGATAATTTTAAAATTCTTACTTATTCTTCAAAATCTTTTTCGTCTCCCTCAAAGTAGTCCCCCTTGGCCACAACACACTTGTGCCAACGTTTTTCCCTATCCTAGAAACAGTTCTTAAAGTCAATTTCCGGAATAGCCTTTAAAGGGCGTAGCGCTACACGTTTAACTTTTTCAATTGTTTCAAAACGGGATTCCCGAAGACATCGCTAGAATTCGCTGAATAGCCAGAAGTCTCAAGGGCCTTTTTGGGTGGATATTTTGATTATGAAACGCGTTATTGATCGACTTGTCCCGATAAAGCTGAATTTATTTCTAAATAGTACCATGAAAAGGTATCTTGGACATGCTTCTTCGTATGAATTCCGATCCCACATTGATGGAGAGAATTATAACTGTACATAAGACATGGGTTTATGAGTGCGACATACATGCAACAATCATCGGAATGGAGGAAGACAACGAGCCAAAACCAGAAAACAAAAAAAAAAAACACACACACAACAAACCCGCTCAAAATTCAAGGTGGTGCCCATTGTTTTTTTTTCGATATTAATGGTTTTGTGCATCATGAATTTGTTCCAGTGGGACAGACAGTTGCGTGAGAACAACCGTGGAAAACTGTCGGAATTGTGGAAGAACAATACATGGATTTTACACATTGATAATGCACCATCGCATCGAGCCACAATTGTGACCGAATATAAAGCTAAAAATACAATAAATACCATCGAACAAGGCTGATTTGGCTCCGTGTGATTTTTTTTATTTCCCAAACTGAAAAAACCGCTTCGTGAAACACGGTTTTAGTTGATCGAAGAAATAGAACCAAATTCACTGAAGGAGCTGAAGGTCATCCCAAAAAGTGCTTATAAAAAGTGTTTCGAGGACTGGAAAAATCGCTGGCATAAGTGTATTATATCTTTATTACTTTGAAGGCAACAAAGTAAATATTGATAAATAATTAAATATTTTGTGATTTAATTACAATTTCCGGATGCTTTTTGATACAATTTATATGTACATATATCATCTATGAAGTCATCTATAACTAAAAACTATGGGTCAATTCCAGAAAATATGGATAGTTAAATCAAATTATATGCTCAACTCAAACTCTTTTTAATACACAAATGCATTAGAATTACAAAAAAGTGTTTGTTTCAGTTCATTCGCTTTGTTATAAAATTTAATTGCGCGTAAATCGTTAAACAAATCAACGCCCTGCAAACGCTTTATAGATACCTAAAGTATGTATGCTCCTTTCGCTAAGATTATTTACCATGGTTTTTTATTTTATGGAAAACCGCAATAAGGCACTTAAAAGCAGCCAATGGAACTGGGAAAGCTCTACCGGCAGCCCGACATACATACATACATATATATATGAATCATACACATATGTAAATTAGTGCAACGGTAATGCGTTGATGCACAATGTTATTGCCGCGGCAGTACTTAATTTTATTTTTGTTTTTTTTTTTGTAGTTTTTTTCGAAATACTTTTCCGTCTGAATGCACATTTACAAGGTAGAGTTCTTTTATTAGCGTTTAGTGGCTGATCAAATGAGTATGGTAACATTAAAATTTCAATCGAAATTGTTTACATTAACAATTATAAATAGTAGGCATATAAATTAAAAATGTTAATATGATTAATATTGCTATAATCTATAGATGTTATAAACCTATGAGTTTACAGTGAACAGATTCAAAGTTAAAATGTATGTATGTGATGAACAGAATRATGATACTAAATTCTATTCCTGTTCCTTGCAAAGTAAATAATATTTTTAATAATTTATGCTAACAATTTAGTTGATGTTTTTATAACCTCAACTATTACTATATATAAACAACAAACTAAGAGCGAAAAATAGTAAGACTTTTTAATTCAAATTTCGCGCGAAATACGTTTTTTCTAGGTTGTTTCTGTGCCAAATGTCATATCAAAATATTCATTACTCTTTAGTATACTCTTGTCTTTCTGAAGTACATAAAAAGCATTCCGCAATTTTTATGATGAGTGAAATCGTTCAACAAAGAAGTTCCATTATTTAATGTGTACGGAATCAAATTTCTGGTTACGAAATGTTCAGACTGTCGGAAATAACGTCGATGGATCAGAAAATTTAGTGAAAAAAACTTAGAAGGATCGTTTGAGCCTACGAAAAGTAGAAGCACGATTAGTTCCAAATTCACTCACGTTGTTTTAACGTCTGTAAAGCAATGCTTGCCGACTACC